TTATTTAAAAAATTCCTTTATTCAGGAAACACATGTGATCCTGTTGATCTGTCATGAAAGCATACTGTACGTGGTTGCACAGTTCTTGTTTTACTCTGAATTGTACTTCTGAACACTATGAGAGATTCCTAAGCAAACTGACTGTACTTTCAAGCACACTGGTAGAGAATGGAATTACCCAACTCACACAGCACACCCAGACCACACATTCAGCCTGTCAGTTGTTTCTGAGCATCCTTCCAGTTCCTAGAATTCCTCTTTAGGAAGAGGAGGTTATGTGAAGCTGTGTATATAATAAGTCTTTCTGGTACAGCATAGTTGGTTGAGGTATGCTACAAGCAGAGAGAAGGTCGCAAGGGTTCAAGTCCCGATGAGGTCATTGGATTTTTATCAATTGACCTAATCTATCCTTCAATCAGAATTGGGGTGTAAAGAAGAAAAAAGTTCATACAGATACTTGTGAGAAAAGAAACTCTTAGAAGGTGGACGGCATGGAAGACTAGAAGAATGTAGGAAGGAAGGATAGTGAGATATCATCATTATTATTATTATTTTACTGCAATTGGGTGTTCACCGGGTGGCATTAGAACTTACACTGATACAGACAAGGAAAGTCTATAACATAAGGGAACAATACAAATCAAATTACATACAATAAACAAGGTACGCACAGTGCAAATCCAAACATATAAAATTATAAAAGGGCACTTGCTTGTGTTCGTTTCACTGCGCTGGAACAAAGACACTTCGCATTACTTCACTTGGTTCATTTAACTCCGCCTAAGGCCTCTGTACTTGCAACAGCTTTCATAACCCTCTTTCTAAAAGTATTTAGTTTACAGGGGAAAGACGCTATTATGCCTGTAGGTAAATTGTTCCAATCCTCTATGGTTGTCTTTACAAAGGAATATTTGCCAACATCTGTTCTTTGTTTCCTGCTTCAAACTTTCCAAATATGATCGTCCCTACTCAGGTAGCAAGGTTGAAGCAGGTTATGCGCTATCGCCTTCCAAGCCAGCCTCTTGGTGTACACCTTGTAAAGGGCACACAGGTGGGCTATCAATCTGTGCTGTGCCAGAGAATCCCAACCAGATTCATCTGTAGGACTGGCAAATTTAGCTACTCTTCTTTGTACCCGATCTAAAGCGCTAACCTGCCATTCTCTGGATGGATCCCAGCATACTGAACCATATTCAAGTATCAGTCTCACTAATGACGTATAAGCTAGACGGTTCGTGTTGTTATTACCCTGTGTCAGTATACGCATTATTAAATGAAGAGCCTTCCATGCTTTTTGTAGCATGTAGTTTACTTGCTCTTCCTAGGTACTTGAAGGTATTTACCTCTGGAATTAATTGGTCCCCAAAATAACACGTCAGTTGATCCTTCACCCTGTTCTTCATCTGAAGTTTATTACACTACATTGCATTGCATTCCATGGATCCAAAGTTAGTCAAATTGACTGCAGGATGTGGAATATGTCATATAAATACAAAACATATGTACAGATCCAAAGGAGTTGTTACACAAGAGAAACCAAGAATACAAAATGACTACACACAAGGCTATTTAAAGATACATAAGTTATTTTCT